GAGGGAACCAGCCCACGCCGCCGTCGGGCCGGGAGTTCCCGGTGGTCCGGCCGTGCCGCGGCGCCGCGCGGCGCCGGCGGGAGGACGAGGACGCGTGCAGCCCGGCGGGGGAGCGGGAAGCCCACCGGGTGCTGGACTGGGTGCCGGGAGTCAGCATCTTCTACAACCTGGGCACCAGCGTCTACTTCGCCTTCCAGGGCTGCCAGGCCAAGGCGTCCACGCGGGCGCTGGAGGCCGCCGAGGACCTGGGCTACGCCGGGCTGGCCGCGCTCACCGGGGGCTTGGGGGGCCCGGTGGCCATGGGGGTGCAGCTGGGGTTACAGCCGGGGCTCAAGGCCGGCGTGCGGGCGCTCGTCGGGTACTTCACGTCGGCCGGGGAGCCCTCGCCGGTGCCCACCGCCCACAGCGGCGCCGTGGTCATCGTCTGAATAAAGGCCACGTGTGGCATCCGGCGCTGGGTCGGTGTTTGGGGACGGATCGATGAGGGGTCACCCTGCCCTGGGGCTCCCGGACCTTGGCCACGTGGCGGCAGCTGGGCCGGGCTTGTTCCTGTCCCTTTGTGGCTCTGTCTCTGTCCCTGCAGGCCCTGTCCCCACAGCCAGCCCATCCCAGCGGCCACGCTGCCTTGTCCCTGTCCCCAGGGCTCTCTCCCTCCAGCCTGTCCCTGTCCCCAGGGCTCTTTCCCTCTCTCCCTCCAGCCTGTCCCTGTCCCCAGGGCTCTTTCCCTCTCTCCCTCCAGCCTGTCCCTGTCCTCAGGGCTCTTTCCCTCTCTCTCCAGCCTGTCCCTGTCCCCAGGGCTCTGTGTCCCTTTCCCCATGGCCCTGACCCTGTCCCCATCCATGCAGATTCTCCCTGTCTCCCTGACTCTGTACCCCATCCCCACAGCTTGTCACTGTCCCCACAGCTCCCCATGGCCTGTCCCCACAGCTCTGTCATCCCTGTCCCCATGGCTCTGTCCCTGTCCTTACAGCCTGTCCCTGTCCCCATGGCTCTGTCACTATCTCTCTGTCCCTCTGTCCCCATGACTCTGTCTCTGTCCCCCTGTCCGTCTATCCCCATGGCTCTGTCCCTGTCCTTAGGGCCTGTCCCTGTCCCCATGACTCTGTCCCTGTCCCCAGGCTATCCCCATCCCTCTGGCCCTGTCACTGTCCTTAGGGCCTGTCCCTGTCCCCATGGCTCTGTCTCTGTCCCCATGGCTCTGTCTCTGTCCCCCTGTCCGTCTGTCCCCATGGCTCTGTCCCTGTCCTCAGGGCCTGTCCCTGTCCCCATGACTCTGTCGCTGTCCCCATGGCTCTGTCCCTGTCCTCAGGGCCTGTCCCCATGGCTCTGTCCCTGTCCCCATGGCTCTGTCCCTGTCCTCAGGGCCTGTCCCTGTCCCCCCGCCCATCCCGGGCTGCCGCCGTTCCCTCCCCCAATCCCCGATGGCCCCGCCCCCGTGGCCACACCCCAGCAATAACCCAGCCCACATGACCACGCCCCTTGCGTGACGTAAAATTGGGGAAACGAACAAACATGCCCAAAGCCGCCTGTTGCGGGGGCGTGGCCTCGGCGCCGCTCTCCGCCAATCACCGAGCAGAGCGGGGAGGGGGCGTGGCCAGCCCGCCTTCCTGCTCCGGTGGCGGCGGAGGTGGGTCGGGGGTCCCGGGCGAGACCGGGGGCGGAACATGGGCGGTTCTGGAGCCCGGGGAGCCCCGGGGGAGGGGGGCACAGGCAGGGGACCCCGGCTGGGGCACACAGAGCGTCCCTTGGAGGGCTGTCCCGCTGGGCGGGGGGCGTTCAGGGGCGCCCACCCCTGCGGGAAGGGCACCGGGGGGTACCCAGGGCGTTCAATGGGGGTCCGGTCTACGGGGGCTTCTGAGGAGGGGCCTGGGGTGCTGCACAAGGGGTGCTGGGGGTCCTCGTGTGGGCGTTCTGTGCGTGTGCCCCCTGCCCCCGATGGGGAACCCCCCTCGGCTCACCCCCTGCTCCCACCGCAGGACGCGGCTGCCGGTCCGCGACCACCCCAGCGGGAGCCAGGGGACCCCCGGGAGCTGCCGGGGCTGTGGCAGAGCAGAGGGAACCCCGGGACCACACAGAGCCGAACAGGAGCAGAGGGACCCCCGGGGCCGAGCAGGAGCAGAGGGGACCCCCGGGACCACCCAGGACCGAGAAGGAGCAGAGGGACCCGCAGGAGCAGCCGGGGCTGAACCAGAGCAGAGGGACCCCCGGGACCGAGCAGGAGCAGAGGGGACCCCCGGGACCGAGCGGGTCTTACCCCTCTGAGCACCCAAAGGGACCCCCCGGAGCAGAGGGACCCCGGGACCAGAGAGACCCCCGGGAGCAGCGGGACCCCCGGAGCAGAGGGACCCCCGGGAGCAGCGGGACCCCCGGGAGCAGAGGGACCCCCGGGAGCAGCGGGACCCCCGGGGAAGGGCACCGGGGGGTACCCAGGGCGTTCAATGGGGGTCCGGTCTACGGGGGCTTCTGAGGAGGGGCCTGGGGTGCTGCACAAGGGGTGCTGGGGGTCCTCGTGTGGGCGTTCTGTGCGTGTGCCCCCTGCCCCCGATGGGGAACCCCCCTCGGCTCACCCCCTGCTCCCACCGCAGGACGCGGCTGCCGGTCCGCGACCACCCCAGCGGGAGCCAGGGGACCCCCGGGAGCTGCCGGGGCTGTGGCAGAGCAGAGGGAACCCCGGGACCACACAGAGCCGAACAGGAGCAGAGGGACCCCCGGGGCCGAGCAGGAGCAGAGGGGACCCCCGGGACCACCCAGGACCGAGAAGGAGCAGAGGGACCCGCAGGAGCAGCCGGGGCTGAACCAGAGCAGAGGGACCCCCGGGACCGAGAGGGAGCAGAGGGACCCCGGGCGCAAAGGGACCCCCCGGAGCAGAGGGACCCCGGGACCAGAGAGACCCCCGGGCGCAAAGGGACCCCCGGGAGCAGCGGGACCCCGGGCCGCCGGTGCTGCGGGCAGGTACGTGGTGTGCAGATGTGCCCGGCTGGCACTCGCGGCTTTTTCTCATCCTCCGCTCCCTCCGTGACCCCGGGGGGGTCCCCGGGACGCCCCTGACCCGCTGTCCCCCCAGCATGGCACAGTGGCAGGAGGTGCAGAGCTTGGCCAACACTTACCTGGAGCAGGTGCACCAGCTGTACGCGGGCTCGGCGCTGCCCATGGCCGTGCGCCAGTCCTTGGCCGCCTGGATCGAGACCCAGAACTGGTACCGGGGGGGGGATTCGGGGCTGGGGGGGGGCACGGGCAGGGTAGAACCGGTGCTGAGCCCGCGCTGCCGCAGGCGCCAGGCGGCGGAGCCGCTCTGCTCGCAAGCGCGGATGCTGTTCCACTCCTTACTGGTGGTACTGGGAGAGCGCCTGGGCAGCCTGGGCTCGGACCGCGAGGATTTCATGCTGAAGCACAACCTGCGCAAGGCTCACCGCGACCTCCAGGTGAGCTGCAGGGCGGGGGGAGCGCGGTGGGGAGGGGTCTCCGCGCCGCTCTGACCCCCCCAAGCCCCCCGCAGGCAGAGTTCGAGGAGGAGCCGGAGAGATTCGCCAACCTGGTGGCCAACCTGCTGCAGGAGGAGCGGCGGATCCTGCGCCTTGGGCAGGCCGGGGGGCAGGTAGGGAAGGGCTGTGTGTCCCCCCCACACACCCCGGGGGTCCCGCGGCCGCTGCCCCCCACCCCATATCTCCCTCCTTAGGGGGGTTCGGCCCCCGCGCCCAGCCCAGCCCCGGAGAGCGGCCGGGAGCAGCAGATCCAGCGGCGCTTGGCCGAGTTCCACACGGCCCTGCAGGTAACCCCTGCGACCCCCGCGACCCCCTCCGAGCCCCCCCGGGGGCTGCCCGGCCCCTCCTGACCCCGCTGTGCCCGCAGGAAGCCGAACGAGCCTTCAGGCACCTGGAGGATTTGCAGGATGCTTTTGACTTCTGCTACAAGGTGCACTACCAGCCAGGTGAGCCCCACACCGGAGAGATGGGGGGTGGGCACTGCCCCGCGCCCCCCCAGAGCCCCCCAAAACCCTGAGCCCGCTCCCTTGCCCACAGGTGAGGAGAGGAACGAGGACCCCGAGTACATCCAGGAGCTCCAATCCCTCCAGGCCAAACTGCAGAACCTGGACCGGCAGCGCCGGGTGAGGAGGGGGGCTCGGGGTGGCCGGGCTGGCTTTGGGGGGGGTCTTACCCCTCTGAGCACCCCGTTCAGAGCCACCTCTCCCCCCAGGAGGTGCTGGCTCAGATGCAGCAGCTTTTGGGGCGCAGCGAGACCCTGCAGGAGCTGCTGCAGCAGGAGTTGGGGGGCTGGCGGGCGCGGCAGCAGCGCCTGTGCCTGGGGTGCCCCGGTGACACCAACCTGCGCCCGCTGGAGACCTGGTAGGGCTCGGGGAGGGGGCTCGGGGGGCTCGTGGGGGGCTGCAGCCGGACCCCTCTGAGCTCCCTGAGCCCCGCAGGTTCACGGAGCTGGGCCAGGGGTTGTTCCAGCTGCGGCAGCTGCTGCGGGCGCTGGGTGACCTGCGACAAAAGGTGACCTACGCCAGGGACCCGCTGGTGGCAGAGACGCCCCTGCTGGAGCAGCGGCTGCAGGAGCAGCTCACGCACCTGCTCAAGAGGTTGGGGCTGGGCCAGGAGGGCTGGAGGGTGGAGAGCAGGGAAAAGTTCTTCCCCCGAGGGTGGTGGAGCACTGGGAGATGGAATGGTGACGGTGCCGAGGGTGGCAGAGCTCCCGGAGTGGCAACTCTGCCAGGCACGGGGTGGGGTTTTGGGGTGTCTGTGCAGGATGTGAAGTGGGATCAGTGACCCTGGTGGGTTCCTTGCAGCTCTGGCTACTCTGTAATTCAGTTGGGCAATGCTCTCGGATTTGGGGGGAAATTTGGCACCTGGAGGATTTGCACTTGGGGCAGCTCTCCAGGGGTTGGTGACAGTCCCGAGGGTGGCAGAGCTCCCGGAGTGTTTGGGCAATGCTGCCAGGCATGGGGTGGGGTTTTGGGGTGTCTGTGCAGGGTGTGGAGTGGGATCAATGATCCTGGTGGGTCCCTTGCAGCTCTGGCTGCTCTGTAATTCAGGAGCTCAGGGAGGGTTTTGCCCCAGTTTTAAGTTGGGGCAGCTCTCCAGGGAGTGGTGACAGTCCTGAGGGTGGCAGAGCTCCCGGAGTGGCAATGCTGCCAGGCATGGGGTGGGGTTTTGGGGTGTCTGTGCAGGGTGTGGAGTGGGATCAATGACCCTGGTGGGTTCCTTGCAGCTCTGGCTGCTCTGTAATTCAGGAGGTCAGGGCGGGTTTTGCCCCAGTTTTAAGTTGGGGCAGCTCTCCAGGGAGTGGTGACAGTCCTGAGGGTGGCAGAGCTCCCGGAGTGGCAATGCTGCCAGGCATGGGGTGGGGTTTTGGGGTGTCTGTGCAGGGTGTGGAGTGGGATCAATGACCCTGGTGGGTTCCTTGCAGCTCTGGCTGCTCTGTAATTCAGGAGCTCAGGGAGGGTTCAGGCTCTCAGGGATTTGGGGGAAATTTTGTGTTGTCCTGTGCGGGGCCAGCAGCTGGACTTTGATCCTGATGGGTCCCTTCCAGCTCTGGATGGTTCAAGAGGTCAGGGAGAGGCTGGACAATGCTCTCAGGTGGTGGCATTTAGGATTTTTGGGGGTGTCCTGGGACTCAAAGATTGTTGTGGGCCCCTTCCCACCTCAAGGAGCATTTGGAGAAGGCTCTCAGGGACAGGGTGGGATTTTGGGGTGTCTTGAGTGTGGAGCTGGGCTTTGATCCCTGTAGGTCCCTTCCAGCTCAGGATATTCCATAATTCCAGGGGTCAGGGACAGTTTGGACAACGCTTTCAGCCCCTCAATGCTCTCAGGGTTTGGGATTTGGGGACTGGGGGGACTTTTGGGGCTGTCCCATGCTAGACCAGGAGTTTGACTCTGACCATTCTGATGGACCATTCCATCTCTGGATATTCCACAGCTCAGGGGCTGCTTGGACATCACTCAAATGTTGGGATTTGGGACTGGGGGGACTTTTGGGATTGTCCCTTGCCAGGTCAGAAGTTGGACTTGGTGATCCTGATGGGTCCCTTCCATCTCTGGGTGTCTGGACACCACTCAAACATTGGGATTTGGGACAGGGCAGGTTTTGGGGTTATCCCACGCCAGGAGTGGGATTTCTGATGGGGCCCTTCCATCTCTGGGTGTTCAAACACCACTCAAACATTGGGATCTGGGACAGGGCAGGTTTTGGTGTTGTCCCGTGCCAGGAGTTGGATTTCTGATGGGTCCTTTCCATCTCTGGGTGTTCAAACACCACTCAAACATTGGGATCTGGGACAGGGCAGGTTTTGGTGTTGTCCCGTGCCAGGAGTTGGATTTCTGATGGGTCCTTTCCATCTCTGGGTGTTCAAACACCACTCAAACATTGGGATCTGGGACAGGGCAGGTTTTGGTGTTGTCCCGTGCCAGGAGTTGGATTTCTGATGGGTCCCTTCCGTCTCTGGGTGTTTGGACATCACTCAAACACTGGGATCTGGGACAGGGCAGATTTTGGGGTGGTCCCGTGCTAGGAGTTGGATTTTTGATGGGTCCTTTCCATCTCTGGTTGTTTGGACATCACTCCAACGTTGGAATTTAGGACTGGGGGGAATTTTGGGGCTGTCCCATGCTAAGCCAGGAGTTTGACTCCTGATGGGTCCTTTTCATCTCTGGGTGTTCGAACACCACTCAAACGTTGAGATTTAGGACTGGGCAGATTTTGGGGTGGTCCCATGCCAGGAGTTGGATTTCTGATGGGTCCCTTCCATCTCTGGGTGTCTGGACACCACTCAAACATTCTCTGGGTGTTTGAACACCACTCCAATGTTGGGATTTGGGACAGGGCAGATTTTGGGGTGTTCCCGTGCCAGGAGTTGGATTTCTGATGGGTCCCTTCCATCTCTGGGTGTTCAAACACCACTCAAACATTGGAATTTAGGACTGGGGGGAATTTTGGGGCTGTCCCATGCTAAGCCAGGAGTTTGACTCCTGATGGGTCTCTTCTATTTCTGGGTGTCTGGACACCACTCCAACGTTGGAATTTAGGACAGGGCAGATTTTGGGGCTGTCCCATGCCAGGAGTGGGATTTCTGATGGGTCCCTTCCGTCTCTGGGTGTTCAAACACCACTCAAACATTGGAATTTAGGACTGGGGGGAATTTTGGGGTTGTCCTGTGCTAAGCCAGGAGTTTGACTCCTGATGGGGCTCTTCTATTTCTGGGTGTCTGGACACCACTCAAACATTGGGATTTAGGACAGTGCAGGTTTTGGTGTTGTCCCGTGCCAAACCAGGACTTCAGCCTTCACGGCTTCCCTCCGCCTGGGGCATCCCAGGATTTCCAGCGGTGGGGTGGGCCCGGGGGGTCTCGGGGCAGCGCTGACCCCCCGCTTTCCCCAGCGCCTTCGTGGTGGAGCAGCAGCCCAGCACGCCCAACGCCGGGAAGCGGCCGCTGGTGCTGCGCACCGCCGGCAAGTTCTCGACGCGCGCGCGGCTGCTGGTGCGGCTGCACGACCGCAACCACGGCATGGAGGCCAGGATCCACATCGACAGGTGAGGGGGCCTGGCGCCAGAGAGGGCAGAATTGTCAGATTAAATTAAATTAAATTGAATTGAATTTTTTGGTCAAATTAAATTTTTTTTTTTTTGTTAAATTAAGTTAAATTAAATTATTTTGTTTGTTAAATTGATTAAATGAAATTGAATAAATTAAATTAAATTAAATTGAGTTAAATTAAATTCTTTTGATTGTTAAATTCATTGAATTAAATTAAATTAAATGATTTTGTTTGTTAAATTAATTAAATTAAATTAAATTAAATTAAATTATATTAAATTAAAATAAATAAAATAAAATTAATTGAATTGAATTAAATTAAATTATTTTGTTTGTTAAATTAATTAAATTAAATCAAATCAAATTAAATGAAAATAAATAAAATAAAATTAATTAAATTGAACTGAATTAAATTAAATTAAATTATTTTGCTTGTTAAATTAATTAAATTAAATTAAATTGAACTAAATTAAATTAAATTTAAATTAAAACATTAAATTAATTCAATTAAATGGAATAAAATAAAATTAAATTATTTCATTTGTTAGATTAAATTAAATTAAATTATTTAATTTGGTAAATTAAATTGAATTGAATTAAATTAAATTAAATTATTTCATTTGTTAAATTAAACTAAATTATTTTGGTTTTTAAATTGAATTATTTAATTCAATTAAATAATAATTATATTATTGAGTATATTAAAATTTTATCTTATTCAATTAAATTTTTTAATTTATTAAGTTAAAGAATTATTAGGAATAATTCTATTATTTAATCTTAATTTAATAATTATATTTATTAATTTTAAATTAATTTTATTATTTAATTATAACTTATTATTCAATTAAATAATAAATAATTATATTATTGTACATATTAAATTTTTATTTATTCAATTAAATTATTGAATTTATGAAGTTAAACAATAATTATTACTTATTATATTATTGGATTTATGAAATTAAATAATCATGATAACTAATTCTATTATTGAATTTATTGAATTTATACTTTATCAATTTAAATTACAATAGATATTAATTTTTTTATTTCTTCAATCAAATTATCACATTTATAAAATTAAATCATAATTACAAATAATTATTTAATTTACTCTATTTTTTATTTATGAAAGTAAACTATTTAAGATCTGAATCCCATCCCTTTAATGAATCCAACACCAGCTCCAGGACCCCCCCGAGCCCCCTGCCCGCCCGTGGGGGTCCCGCTGGCCCTGACCCCCCCCTTGTCTCTTGCAGGGACCCGCCCAACATCAAAGGGTGAGAGCTGGGACAGCGCTGGAGGGGCTGCGACCCCCCCCCGGGGGTCCTGAGCCCCCACCCCCGCTCCTGGGGGGGTCCTGAATTCTCTCTGACATCCCTGGGGGGGACCCGACCCCCATCTGACATCCCTTGGGGGGGGTCCTCAGCTCCCCCTGCCATCCCTTGGGGGGCTCTGAACCCTCCTGCTATCTCTGGGGAGGGGTCCTGAACCCCCCCGACATCCCTGGGGGGGTCCTGAACCTCTTCTGCCATCATTTGGAGGGGGGGTCCCGACTAGGTCTGCATCCCCCAGGGGTCCCAACCACCCCCCAGCCCCTCTGGGGGTCCTGACTCCTCACCCCCAGCCCCTGAGGGAGGGTCCTGAATCCCCCTGCCATCCCTGGGGGGGTCCTGATCCCCACCTGCCATCCCTGGGGGGGGTCCTGAATGCCCCCCACCATCTTTGGGGAGGGTCCCAAACACCTCCTGCCATCCCTGGGGGGGGTCTTGAACCCCTTCTGCCATCCCTGGGGGGTCCTGAACCCCCCTGCCATCTCTGGGTGGGGGTCCTGAACCCCCCTGCTGTCTCTTAGGGGGTCCTGATCTCCTCCCCCTCCATCCCTGGGTGGGGGTCCCGACAGGGCTGCATCCCCCAGGGGTCTCAATCCCACCCCCAGCCCCTCTGGGGGTCCCAACCCCCCACCCACAGCTGGGCAATGTCCCCTCCTCACCCCAGGCTGACTCTGCCGTCCCCGCAGACGCTGAAGGAGCAGAAGGACAGCAGGGCTGGCAAGGGCAAAGGTGCCAGTGGCGAGGTGGGCACGGGACGGGGCTGGGGGGGCCGCGGGGGGGCCGGGCCGGGTGGTGACAGCGGTGTCACCTCCCCGCAGGGTCCCCTGGTTGTGACAGAGGAGCTGCACCTCATCACCTTCACGCTGGCTTACGCCTACTGCGGGCTGGAGCTGGAGCTGGAGGTGAGGGCTGGGGGGCTTGGGGGGGACAGGGGGGCTTGGGGACAGCCAGCCTGAGCCGCTGTCCCCTCCCCAGGCCACCACGCTGCCCTTTGTCATCATCTCCAACAACAACCAGTTCTCCAGCGCCTGGGCCTCCATCCTGTGGTTCAACATGCTCAGCTCTGACCCCAAGGCGAGCGGGACCCCTGCCCTGTGCCACCCCTGCCTCGTGTCCCCTGTGCTGTCCCCTCCCTAGCCCTGCCCCTTGCCCAGTCTGTGTCCTGGTTGTCCCCTGTGCCCTGTCCCCAGGTCTAGGCCTGGTCCCTGCCCCATCCCAGGTGCAGATCTCTGTCCCCTGGTCCCAGTGGCCTGCCCTGCCTCTTGTCCTTGTCCCATCCCCTGCTTTGATGCCTGTCCTTGGTCCTTGTCCCCTGCCCTGGTGCCTGTCCCCATCCCTTGAACCCCATCCCTGCCACTTACCCCCATCCCCTGGTCCCTGTCCTGCCCCTTAATCCCTGTCCCATCTCCTCGTCCCTGTCCCATCCCCTTGTCCCTGTCCCCTGCCACTTACGCCGATCCTCTGGTCCCTGTCCCATCCCCTGGTTCCTGTCTCCATCCTTTGATCCCTGTCCCATCTCCTCGTCCCTGTCCCATCCCCTTGTCCCTGTCCCCTGCCACTTACGCCGATCCTCTGGTCCCTGTCCCATCCCCTGGTCCCTGTCCTGTCTATTGATCCCTGTCCCATCCCCTGGTCCCTGTCCTGTCCCTTAATCCCTGTCCCATCCCTTGATCTCTGTCCCATCCCCTGGTCCCTGTCCCCATCCCCTGGTCCCTGTCCCTTGATCCCTGTCCCCTCCCCTGGTCCCTGTCCCATCCCCTGGTCCCTGTCCCATCCCCTTGTCTCCATCCCCTGCCACTTATCCCCATCCCCTGGTCCCTGTCCCATCCCCTGGTCCCTGTCCCCCTGTCCCCTGCTCCAGGGCATGTGCCCCCCTCTCCATTGTCCCCCTTCCCTACTCGTGTCCCCCTCCTGTCCTCTCCCAATGTCCCTGTCCCCCTCCATGTCCCCATGCCCTACTCCAGTGCATGTCCCCATTCCCTGTCCCAGTCTCCATTCCCTGTCCCCATTCCCTGTCCCCATTCCCTGTCCCAGTCCCCATTCCCTGTCCCCGTTCCCTGTCCCTGTCCCCATTCCCTGTCCCAGTCCCCATTCCCTGTCCCCGTTCCCTGTCCCTGTCCCCATTCCCTGTCCCAGTCCCCATTCCCTGTCCCCGTTCCTGTCCCCCTCCATGTCCACATGCCCTACTCCAGTGCATGTCCCCATTCCCTGTCCCAGTCTCCATTCCCAGTCCCCATTCCCTGTCCCCATTCCCTGTCCCAGTCCCCATTCCCTGTCCCCATCCCCTCCCGCTGTCCCTGGCCCCGCTCACCCCGTGTCCCCCCGTGTCCCCCGTGTCCCCCAGGCCCAGCAGTTCTTCTCGTCCCCGCCGCCAGCGCCGTGGCCCCGGCTGGCCGAGGTGCTGAGCTGGCAGTTCCAGAGCGTGGCCGAGCGGGGCCTCAGCCGGGACAACCTCCTGATGCTGGCCAAGAAACTCCTGGGTGAGGCTGGGGACACGGGGGGACACCGGGGGACACGGGGGGACACGGGGGGACACCGTGGGACACGGCTGCACTGTCCCCCCTCACCCTGCTCTTATCTCAAGGCTCGAAGCCATCACTGGACAGCACCGTGGCCTGGCCAAAGTTCTCAAAGGTCAGTAGGGCCTGTCCCCTCTGTCCCCATGGCCCTGTCCCCTCTGTCCCTCCATGTCCCCCTGTCCCTCCATGTCCCCATCATCTCCCCATGTCCCCCCATCTCTCCCCTTGTCCCCCTGTCCCCTCCATGTCTCCCTGTCCCCAACATGTCCCCCTGTCCCCCCATGTCCCCCTGTCCCTCCATGTCCCCCCCATGTCCCCCTGTCCCTCCATGTCCCCCTGTCCCTCCATGTCCCCCCCATGTCCCCATGTCCCCTCCTGCAGGATGGCCCTGCTGGTTTCTCCTTCTGGGCCTGGCTGGACGGGATCCTGGGGCTGCTCCAGGAGCACCTCAAGCAGCTCTGGAAGAACGGGTAGGAGCAGGGCTGGGGGGGCTGGGGAGGGGGCTGGGGGGGCCACAGGAGCTGACGGTGCCTCCCCCAGACTCATCCTGGGCTTTGTGAGCCACAAGCAGGCGGAGAAGCTGCTCAAGTCCAGGCGGACGGGGACGTTCCTGCTGCGCTTCAGCGAGAGCGTCCTCGGGGGTGTCACCTTCACGTGGGTGGAGCACCCCGAGACAGGTGAGTGACACCCCCAGGGACCCCCCAGGACCCCCCAGGACCCCCTGGCTGTGCTGGCCAGCAGTGGAAGCCTCTGGAGATGGGATTTTCCAGGTCCATGGTTTATCACTCCTGGCTGTGGCAGAGTGGCTTTGCAGGCAGGATTTGTCCTGAGCAAATTTTGGGGAGACCCTGGAGGTTCAGTTCCACTGTAAGGGACAGAAAATAAATCTCCATCCCCTGAAGTTTAGCATGCAAGAGGATAAATTCAGATTCAGGTTAAAAATGGATGAGGATGGTGAAGCTGAATTCAGATTTAGGTTAAAAACGGACAAGAATTGTGAAGCTGAATTCAGATTTAGATTAAAAATGGATGAGAATGGTGAAGCTGAATTCAGTTTTAGGTTAAAAATGGATAGGAATTGTGAAGCTGAATTCAGATTTAGATTAAAAATGGATGAAAATGGTGAAGCTAAATTCAGATTCAGGTTAAAAATGGATAGGAATGGTGAAGCTGAATTCAGATTTAGGTTAAAAATGGAATAGAATGCTGAAGCTGAATTCAGATTTAGGTTAAAAACGGACAAGAATTGTGAAGCTGAATTCAGATTTAGGTTAAAAATGGATAGGAATGGTGAAGCTGAGCTCCCATGTCCAGCACAGCTTTCTGTGGGACACAGAGTCACCTCCAGCTGACCCCACTGTCCCCCCTGCAGAGCCCCCCACCTTCCACGCCGTGGAGCCCTACACAGCCTCGGAGCTATAGGAATGGTGAAGCTGAATTCAGATTTAGGTTAAAAACGGACAAGAATTGTGAAGCTGAATTCAGATTTAGGTTAAAAATGGAATAGAATGCTGAAGCTGAATTCAGATTTAGGTTAAAAATGGATGAGAATTGTGAAGCTGAATTCAGATTTAGGTTAAAAATGGATAGGAATGGTGAAGCTGAGCTCCCATGTCCAGCACAGCTTTCTGTGGGACACAGAGTCACCTCCAGCTGACCCCACTGTCCCCCCTGCAGAGCCCCCCACCTTCCACGCCGTGGAGCCCTACACAGCCTCGGAGCTGGTGTCCCTGGCCCTGCCCGACATCATCCGTGACTACCACATGAGCCTGGAGGAGAAGAATCCAGAAAACCCCCTCAAGTTCCTGTACCCCAACACCCCCCGGGACGAGGCTTTCGGGCCCTTCTACAGCCAGAGGCTGGAGGGTACGGCCTGGCACGGCTTGGCATGGCCTGGCACGGCTTGGCACGGCTTGGGACTGAGCCAGGGCAGCACCTGCCACCCCCCTGACGCCTCTGTTTGTCCCCAGGGAGCCTGAGCGAGTCCCAGAAATACCTGAACCGGCGCCTCATCCGCGTGTCCTCCAAGTGAGGGGCTGTGGGGACAGCTCTGGGAGCCTGTGGGGTCTCCTGGCCCCAATCCCTGACCCTGACCCCAATCCCTGACCCCAAGCCCAATCCCTGACCCCAATCCCAATCCCTGACCCCAATCCCCACCCCTGACCCCAATCCCTGACTCCAATCCCCATCCCTAACCCCAATCCCAACCCCTGACCCCAATCCGAATCCCTGACCCCCAACCCCTGACCCCAATCCCTATCCTTGACCCCGCTGTCCCTCCCTCCAGGCCCCCCAGCAAGCAGCAGACAGAGGAGGAGCTGGCGGTGGCCACGGAGAACCTGGAGACGCTGCAGCTGCAACCCCGAGGGCAGGGGACACCTGGGACCCTGGGGACACCTCAGGGGGTGGCCACGAGCCCAGGGACACTGCAGGTGGTGGCCATGAGCCCAGGGACACTACAGGTCACCTCTGGGAGCTTGGGGACACCTCAGGTGATGACCACGAGCCCAGGGACACTGCAGGTGTTGGCCACGAGCCCGGGGATACCACAGGTCACCCCTGGGAATTTGGGGACCCCTCAGGGGGTGGCCAGTAGGCTGGGGACACCACAGGTGGTGGCCACAAGCCCAGGGACACTGCAGGTCATCCCTGGGACCCTGGGGACACCACAGGTGGTGACCATGAGCCCAGGGACCCTGCAGCCCATGGGTTTGGGGACACTGCAACCACAGCCTCAAAGCCTGGAGCCACCACAGGTGACATCAGCGGTCCCCAACATGCAGGGGACACTGCAGGTGACACCAGGGGCTGTGGGGACCGTGCAGGTGCTGCCTGGAGGGCTGCAGATGCTGCAGGTGTGCTCAGAGGACTTGGGGACACTGCAGGGGACAATGGGGACGCTGCAGCTGGGAGCTGCGGAGCCACCACGGGTCCCCGAGGAGCAGGGGACACTGCCAGCGGAGCTGAGGGACCTGGAGCTGCTGCCAGGGGGGCAGGACATGCAGGAGCTGCTGCAGGGGAGCCACGACGTGCAGGAGCTGCTGCTGCAGTCGCTGGAGGGGCTGGAGTCGGCCCCGGGGACCCTGGGGGCACTGGGGACACTGGGAGTGGCCGAGCTGATGCCGGACGTGGTGGCAACCTTGGAGGAGAGCTTCCAGCTGAGTCCTGGTGAGTGTTGGGGCTGGGGCGGGGACAGAGGTGTCACCTGGGCACTGCCCTGTCCCCAGGTCACCTACCTGTCCCCTGGGCACTGAGCTGTCCCCGTGTCACCGAGCTGTCCCCGGGCACTGCCCTGTCACCCTGGGCACAGGGGTGTCACCTGGGCACTGAGGTGTCCCCTGGGCACAGCCCTTCCCCTTTGGCACTGCCCTGTCCCCCCGGGCACAGAGGTGTCCCCCAGGTCACCGAGCTGTCACCTGGGCACTGAGTTATCCCCCTGCGCACAGAGCTGTCCCTTTGGCACTGCCCTGTCCCTCTGGGTACTGCCCTGTCCCCAGGTCACCTAGCTGTCCCCTGGGCACAGAGCTGTCCCCGTGTCACCGAGCTGTCCCCGGGCACTGCCCTGTCCCCTTGGGCACAGAGCTGTCCCCAGGTCACCGAGCTGTCCCCAGGTCACCGAGCTGTCCCCCTGGGCACTGAGCTGTCCCCAGGTCACCGAGCTGTCCCCGGGCACTGGGAGGGGCTGGAGTCGGCCCCGGGGACCCTGGGGACACTGGGGACACTGGGAGTGGCCGAGCTGATGCCGGACGTGGTGGCAACCTTGGAGGAGAGCTTCCAGCTGAGTCCCGGTGAGTGTTGGGGCTGGGGCAGGGACAGAGGTGTCACCTGGGCACAGGGGTGACCCCTGGGCACTGCCCTGTCCCCTGGGCACTGCCCTGTCCCCCTGGGCACTGAGCTGTCCCCAGGTCACCGAGCTGTCACCTGGGCACTGAGTTATCCCCCTGCGCACAGAGCTGTCCCTTTGGCACTGCCCTGTCCCTCTGGGTACTGCCCTGTCCCCAGGTCACCTAGCTGTCCCCTGGGCACAGAGCTGTCCCCGTGTCACCGAGCTGTCCCCGGGCATTGCCCTGTCCCCTTGGGCACAGAGCTGTCCCTAGGTCACCGAGCTGTCCCCTTGGGCACCGAGCTGTCCCCAGGTCACCGAGCTGTCCCCGGGCACTGCCCTGTCCCCCCTTGCACTGAGCTGTCCCCCAGGTCACCAAGCTGTCCCCGGGCACTGAGCTGTCCCGAGGTTACTGAGCTGTCCCCAGGTCACAGAGCTGTCCCCGGGCACTGCCCTGTCCCCTTGGGCACTGCCCTGTCCCCTTGGGCACTGCCCTGTCCCCTTGGGCACTGCCCTGTCCCCTTGGGCACTGCCCTGTCCCCTTGGGCACTGCCCTGTCCCCTTGGGCACTGCCCTGTCCCCTTGGGCACTGCCCTGTCCCCTTGGGCACTGCCCTGTCCCCTTGGGCACTGCCCTGTCCCCTTGGGCACTGCCCTGTCCCCTTGGGCACAGAGCTGTCCCCAGGTCACCGAGCTGTCCCCCTGGGCACTGAGCTGTCCCCGTGTCACCGAGCTGTTCCCGGGCACTGCTCTGTCCCCTTGGGCACAGAGCTGTCCCCAGGTCACCGAGCTGTCCCCGGGCACTGCCCTGTCCCCTTGGGCACTGCCCTGTACCCAGGTCACCGAGCTGTCCCCTCCGCAGGCAGCGCTGCTCTCCTGGACCAGCGCGATCCGTTCCTGCCGCAGCCCGAGGACTCGGCCGTGCCCTCGGTGCCCTCGCTCTTCACCGACTTCCCCCCGCTGCACATCGACGCCAGCGACTTCCAGTGACCCCTGCCCAGCCCCTCGCTTCCCAGGGACCCCTGCCCAGCCCCTTCCCAGTGACCCCTGCCCGGCCCCTTCCCAGTGACCCCTGCCCGGCCCCTTCCCAGGGACCCCTGCCCAGCTCCTTCCCTTCTGGGGACCCCTCCTCGGTCCCTTCCCTCCCCAGCCCCTTCCCTTCTGGGGATCCCTCCCCTGTCCTTTCCGTTCCAGGGACCCCTTCTGGGGACCCCTCCTCGGTCCCTTCCCTCCCCAGCCCCTTCCCTTCTGGGGATCCCTCCCCTGTCCTTTCCGTTCCAGGGACCCCTTCTGGGGACCCCTCCTCGGTCTCTTCCCTCCAAGAGACCCCTCCCCGGTCGCTTCCGTTCCAGGGACCCCTCCTTGGTCCCTTCCCTTCCCTCCCCAGTCCCTTTGGTTCCAGGGATCCTTTCCCGGTCCCTTCTCTCCCAGGGACCCCTCCTCAGTCGCTTCCCTCCGAGAGACCCCTCCCCAGCCAATCCCTGTAAATAACCCCCTCCCCACCCCCCTCTCACGCAGCCGCCGCTCTCCCATCTCCGCGGGAGCTTTATTAGAAAGTCATAAATACCCGATTTAAATAAAAACCGCGTCTCGCGCCATAAATAACCCCCGGGGGAGGGGCAATAAATAAGGGGGGCGGTGTCGGGGGGCGGTGTCGGGGGTCTCAGCGGGCGCTGTGGTTGAAGACGCGGCCGATGAGGGCGGCGAAGGAGCGGAGCCGGTTCAGGGCCCGGTGCCGGTGCACCGGCTGCTCCCAGAGCAGGGTGGGCGCCAGCAGGGGTCGGGGGGCGCGACCGTGCCCGTCCTGGGGGGACACAGGGGTCAGCGGGGGGCTGAGGGGTGGCCGTGTGCCCACTGGGGGTCACCCCCGGGGGAGGTTTGGGGACGGTAAGGGTCATTGAGGGACGTCTGGGGACACTGAGGGACCCACAGGGGGACATTTGGGGACACCAAAGGACAACGAGGGACCCATTGGGGGACATTTGGGGACACTGAGGGACAGTGAGGGACACTGAGGGACAGTAAGGGACATTGAGGGACGTCTGGGGACACTGAGGGACCCACAGGGGGACATTTGGGGACACCAAAGGACAACGAGGGACCCACTGGGGGACATTTGGGGACACTGAGGGTCATTGAGAGGTCACTGAGGGACACTGAAGGACACTGGGGGACAGCGGGGGACACCGAGGGTCACCAAGGGACACTGAAGGACACTGGGGGACACTTAGGGGACACTGAGAGATACCAAAGGACACCGGGGGACACCGGGGGACATGGGGGGACACTGAGGGAGAGGATGGGACACTTAGGGGACACTGAGAGATACCAAAGGACACTGAGGGACACCGAGGGACAGGCTGGGAGCCTGAGGGGACACTGAGAGATACCAAAGGACACCGGGGGACACCGGGGGACATGGGGGGACACTGAGGGAGAGGATGGGACACTTAGGGGACACTGAGAGATACCAAAGGACACTGAGGGTCACTGAGGGTCACCGAGGGACATTGAGGGACAGCGGGGGACACCGGGGGACACTGAGGGACAGGAGGGGACACTGAGGGGACACTGAGAGATACCAAAGGACACTGAGGGTCACCGAGGGACACTGAAGGACACTGAGGGACACTGAGGGACACCGGGGGACAGCGGGGGACACCGAGGGACACTGAGGGACACCGGGGGACACCGAGGGACACCGAGGGACACCGGGGGACAGCGGGGGGCACGGCGGGCACCCGGGGCTCACCGGGACGTGGCGCAGCAGCCGCTCCACGGCGCTCTGCAGCTGCGGCTGCGGCTGCTCGCGGAAGATGTCGGAGCCCAGCAGGTCCCGGTAGTGCTGCAGGGCCTGCCGGACCCGCTGCAGGCAGCGCTGCGGGGACCGCGGGTGACGTGGGGCTCCGGGACCCCCCCGGGACCCCCGAGGGCATCCCCAGGACCCCTCTGGGAGCTCCAAACTCATCCCTGGGACCCCAGAATCCCTAAGACCCCCCTGGGAGCTTCATCCTCAGCATCCCTGGGACACCCAGACATCCCTGGGACCCCTCTGGGAACTCCAAACGCGTCCTTGGGACCCCTGGGACCCCCAGACATCCCCAGGACCCTCGAGGGCATCTCCAGGGCCCCCGAGTTCATTCTCAGCATCCTTGGGACCCCCAAGTGCATTCCCAGGACCCCCAGAATCCCTGAGACCCCTCTGGGAGCTCCAAACATGTTCCTGGGACACCCAGACATCCCTGGGACCCCTCTGGGAGCTCCAAACGCGTCCTTGGGACCCCTGGGACCCCCAGACAGACATCCCCAGGACCCTCGAGGGCATCTCCAGGGCCCCCGAGTTCATTCTCAGCATCCTTGGGACCCCCAAGTGCATTCCCAGGACCCCCAGAATCCCTGAGACCCCTCTGGGAGCTCCAAACATGTTCCTGGGACCCCCAGGCATCCCCAGGACCCCCAAGTTCATTCTCAGCATCCCCAGGACCCCCAAACATCCCCAGGACCCCCAAGTGCATCCCCCAGCATCCCTGTGACCCCCAGAGAGCCTCAGGACCCCCCAAGCAAACCCGAGTATCCCCTGGGACCCTCAGGTTCACCCTCAGCCTTTCTGGGACCCCCAGACACTCCCGGGACGCCCGAGTGCCTGCCCAGGATCCCCAGCACCCCCGGGACCCCTCTGGGACCCCCCCCAGCTTCATCTTCAGCATCTCTGGGACCCCCAGACACTCCCGGGACGCCCGAGTGCCTGCCCAGGATCCCCAGCACCCCCGGGACCCCTCTGGGACCCCCCCCAGCTTCATCTTCAGCATCTCTGGGACCCCCAGACACTCCCGGGACCCCCAGGCACATCCTTGGGACCCCCTAGATGAACCCCAGAGTATCCCTGGGACCCCCGGACACCCCTGACACCCCTCTGGGACCCCCCAACTTCATCCTCAGCACCCCTGCCCCCCCCGCCGACCCCCGCAGCCCCCTCTCGGTGATCCCGGCAGCCCCCTGAGCCCCCCCGCAGCCCCCCGGTCCCCCGGTACCGTGTGGTTGCTCTCCAGGCTCGGGGGGTCGCAGGCGTCGCTGCAGCGGATCCGGGGGGGCCAATTTTGGGGTTCGTCCTCCAGCAGCTGCAGCCCCTCCTGGAGCAGCGATCGGGGCCGTGCCCGCGTGTCCGGTACCGCCGGGGGGACACCGGACAGCCCCGGGACACCGGACACCCCCGGGACACCGAACCCCCCCAGGTCCCACCCCCGCCGCGATCTCCCGGTTGCTTCCCGAGTCCCCGGTGCCCCCAGCGGAGCCCCCCGGTGCTTCCCGAGCTTCTCGGTGCCCCTAGCCGAGCTCCCGGCGCTTCCCGCTACCCCCGGTACCCCCGGCGGAGCCCCCCGGTTCTTCCCCAGCCCCCCGGTGTCCCCGGCAGAGCCCCTCGGTGTTCTGTCTGAGCCCCCGGTGTTTCTCGAGCCCTCCGGTGCTTCCCGAGCCTCCCGATGCTTCTCCAGCTCCCCGGTGCTCCCGGCGGAGCCCCCCGGTACTCCGGCTGAGCCCCCCGGTGCTTCCCGAGCACATCAGTGCTTCTCGAGACCCCCCGGTACTTCCCGAGAACCCCGGTACCTCCCGGCCGAGCCCCCGGTACTCCAGCTGAGCCCTCCGGTGCTTCCCGAGTCCCCGCTACCCCCGGCGGAGCCCCCCGGTACTCCGGCTGAGCCCCCCGGTGCTTCCCGAGCACATCAGTGCTTCTCGAGACCCCCCGGTACTTCCCGAGAACCCCGGTACCCCGGCTGAGCTCCCGGTGCCCCTGACAGAGACCCCCGGTGCTTCCCGAGCTCCCCGGTTGAGCTCCCGGTGTCTCCGCCGAGTCCCCGCTCCCCCTGGCCGAGCCCCCCGGTACTCTGGCTGAGACCGGTGTCCCTGGCGGAGCCGCCGGTGCCTCCCAAACCCCCCGGTGTTTCCCGAGCTTCCCGATGCTTCTCCAGCCCCCCGGTGCACCCGGCTGAGCCCCCCGGTGCTTCCCGAACCCCCCGATGCTCCTCGAGCCTCCCGAGAATCCCGGTACCCCGGCTGAGCTCCCGGTGACCCTGGCCGAGTCCCCGGTGCCTCAAGAACCCCCCGGTGTTTCCCGAGCCCCCCGGTACTTCCCGAGCCCCCGGTGCCTCCCGAGCCCCCCGGTGCCTCCCGAGCCCCCCGCACTCACCAGCACCGGGTGCGGTTCCCGGACCGCCGCCAGCAGCCGCGACAGCTCCCGGGACAGGACCTTGCAGGCGGCCCAGTCCGGCGGGCGGAGCGGGCCCGGTGCCGGTGCCGGTGCCGGTGCCGGTGCCGCGGGAGGCGGCGGCAGCAGAGCGAGGAGCAGGCAGAGGCGGAGGCGGCGGAGCGGAGCCATCGCTGCTCGGTCTGTGCCGCCACCGGCGCCGCCACCGGGCTCTTATGGGGCGGCGGCGGCAGGTGGGGAATCCCGGGGCAGGTGCTCCCGCCCCGCCGAAAGCAGAACCGATACCGGGCCGGGGTCCCCGGGCTGCGCCCCGCCGCACCGGGACGGGACGGGACGGGCAGGAAAACCCGGGGCAGTTCCTGGCGGCATGGGAGGCTCCGGCTCCGGCACCGGCACCGGCACCGGCACTGGCACTGGCACTGGCACCGGCAACGGGGCGGCGCCGACACCGGCACCGACACCGGCACCGACAGCGGGGCAGTCTCTCGGTTCACAAACTTCCCCGGTGCCGCCGTGTCCGAGCCGGTGCCCCCGGTTGTCCCCGGTTGTCCCGGGCTGTCCCGGGTCGGAGCGGGCCGTGCTGCCGCAATCTCGGCGGCTCCGGCGCTTCCCGCTCCGCCCGCCGGGGCTGCCCCCGGTTTTCCCCCGCACCGGGGATGGGCCGGGCACGGGGGGAGCGGGCGGGGACACGGCGGGGACAGCGGGGATGGGGGACAGCGGGGACACTGAGGGACACCAGGGGACACTGGGGGACAGTGCGGGGCAATGAGGAATGAGGGACACCGGGGGACACCGAGGGACATTTGGGACACCGGGGGACACCGAGGGACAGGGTGGGACCCTGAGGGACACTGAGGGACAATGAGGGACATTGAGGGACAATGAGGGACATTTGGGGCGCTGGGGGACATTTGGGACACTGAGGGACCCCATGGGACATTGAGGAACATTTGGGACACTGTGGGACACTGAGGGACAGCGTGGGACAATGAGGGACACCGGCGGACACGGTGAGATACCAAGGGGCAGAGTGGGACACTGGAACATTTGGGGACATTTGGGGACACCTTGGGATGCCGTGGGACATTCGGGGACCCCGTGGGACACTGTGGGATGCCAGAGGACAGCGGGGAACATTTGGGGACACTTTGGAGACCCCAAGGGGTGCCAGGGGACAGCGCGGGACACTGGGACACTTGGGGACACTTGGGGGACATTTGGGGACACTTTGCGATGCCATACGGTGCCAGGGGACAGGGTGGGACCCCAGGGGACATTGTGAGACCCCCGTGCACGCTGTGTAGGAATGCCAAGGGACACCGAGGGACACTTGGGGACCCCGAGGGGTGCCAGACACCCGCGGGCACCGTGGGACGTCCCGAGCTGCTCCGTGACACCCCGTAGGCTCTCGTAGGTGACCGGGGACGCTGCATGACACCAGTGGGACCCCACAGGCCGCAGCCGCCGCACGGCTGGGCAGCGCCCGGGGCTCCGAGAGGCCCCCGGTGGTCCCGGGGCTCCCCCCGGGGCTCCCCCGCCGCGAACCAGCGGATTGCAGCCTTTTTGTCCCGTGCGGCGCCTCGTCCCGCCGCTCCGCTTAGTCCCGCCTCCTTCGAGCGCTGATTGGTCAGCTCCTCGCGCTCTGCGCTGCCATTGGTCGGCGGCGCGGGGCGGGCCCGGTGTACCGGGCAGGGGGCGCGGTTGCCGTAGCGACGGCGGGAGCGGCCCCGGCCCCGGCCCGGCCGCGGCGGCGCAGCGGGACGAGCCCGGGAGCGCGGCCCCGGCGCGGCTCTGCCCGCGGAGGCTCGGTAACAGCGCGCGCGGCGGGGTGGCGGTGGCGGCTCCGGTGCTCGGTGAGAGCGGCCGCTCGGGCCGGGCCCCCCGTGCCCCGCCCGGGACTGCGGCCGCTGATACCGGCAGTGCTAGGCGCCTTCGGTGTGGGCTGGCGGTGATAAAGGCGGCGGGTGCGGAGCTGGCCCGGAGCCCCGCGGGTGGCGCGGGGCGGGGCCCGGTTTGGCTCCCCGGTGCCTTGGGACACTGCCCGGTGCCTTGGGACACGGCCCGCTTCCTTTGGAGGTTGTTCCGTGCCCTGGGACCACTGCCCGGTATCCCCGGGAGGCTGCCTGGCATCTTGGGCTGCTGCCCGGTTAGCCCGGATGCTGCCCGGTGCCCAGGGACCCCTGCCCGGTGCCCAGGGACAGTGCCCGGTGCCCAGGGACAGTGCCCGGTGCTCACGTACCCCTGCCCGGTGCCCAGGGACAGTGCCCGGTGCTCAGGTACCCCTGCCCGGTGCCCAGGGACAGTGCCCGGTGCTCCCGTTAATCCTGGCTGCCGTTCCTGCCCCTCACTCCCGGTGATTCCTGCTGCCATTCTCGTCCCTCACTCCCGGTGATTCCCGCTCCCGTTCCTGTCCCTCCCTCCCGGTGATTCCCGCTCCCGTTCCTGCCCCTCATCCCCGTTCCTGCCCCTCATTCCCGGTAATTCCCACTCCTGTTCCTGCCCCTCACTCCCGTTCCTGCCCCTCACTCCCGGTGATTCCCGCTCCCGTTTCTGCCCCTCACTCCCGGTAATTCCCACTCCAGTTCCTGCCCCTCACTCCCGGTGATTCCCGCTCCCGTTCCTGCCCCTCATCCCCGTTCCTGCCCCTCATTCCTGGTAATTCCCCCTCCAGTTCCTGCCCCTCACTCCCGGTGCTCTCCGGTTCCTCTCCCCCCCCCAGGACCCACCATGAACTTCGAGGGGCTGAACCCGTCGCTGGCCGAGTTCGCCGCTCCGCTGCACGCCGCGCTGGAGCCGGTGCTGGACCCTCACCTGACCCCCAGCCTGGTGGAGCTGGACCCCGAGGGGGTGGCCCTGGAGGGGCTCCCGGTGCCCGACGCCGTGCCCCTGATGGAGGGCATCTACAGCGAGCTGCACACGGCCGTCTCCGAGGTCGGCGTGCCCGCCGCCGTGGCCCACTTCGACCTGCACGAGGAGATGCTGTGGGTCGGCAACCACGGGGTGCGTGCTCTGGGGAGGTTCTGGAGAGGTTTTGGGAGGTTCTGGAGAGGTTTTGGGGAGATCTAAGGAGGTCTTGGGGAGCTTTGGAGGGGTTTTGGGAGGTACTGTAGAGGATTTGGGAAGTGTAGAGGTTTTGGGAGGTTCTGGAGAGGTTTTGGGAGGTTCTGGAGAGGTTTTGGGAGGTTCTGGAGAGGTTTTGGGAGGTTCTGGAGAGGTTTTGGGAGGTTCTGGAGGGGTTTTGGGAGATCTAAGGAGGTCTTGGGGAGCTCTGGAGATGTTTGGGGAGGTTCTGGAGAGGATTTGGGAAGTTCTGGAGAGGTTTTGGGAGGTTCTGGAGAGGTTTTGGGAGGTTCTGGAGGGGTTTTGTGGAGATCTAAGGAGGTCTTGGGGAGCTCTGGAGGGGTTCTGGGAGATTCTGGTGGGGTTTTGGGGAGATCTAAGGAGGTCTTTGGGAGCTCTGGAGAGGTCTTGGGGAGCTCTGGAGGGGTTTTGGGGAGCTCTGGAGAGGTTTTGGGAGGTTCTGGAGGGGTTTGGGGGAGATAGAAAGAGGTCTTGGGAAGCTCTGGAGATGTTTTGGGAAGGTTTTGGGAGGATCTGGAGAGGTTTTGAGGAGGTTCTGGGGAGGTTTTGGGGTGATGTAAGGAGGTCTTGGGAAGCTCTGGAGAGGTTTGGGGAGCTCTGGAGAGGTTTTGGGGAGATCTAAGGAGGACTTGGGAAGCTCTGGAGAGGTTTTGGGGAGCTCTGGAGAGGTTTTGGGAGGTTCTGGAGGGGTTTGGGGGAGAAAGCAGTTGGATATAGGCTCTTAACCATCAGGTGCCTTTTTAGTTAGGCAGTGTATGGGTCTAAGATTTTAAAGGATTATTTGTAAAATCTGTGTAATCTAGAACAGCTTCTTTTGACTCCCAAGTAAGTTTGTGTAGAGACTTGTTAATAAAGATGGTGTGATTTGGTCACAATTTGTGGAATACAACTGCATTGGTTTCACTACCCCCCCCCCCCCTTCCCCCCGCTAAAAAGGAGCTCTGGAGGGGTTCTGGGAGATTCTGGTGGGGTTTTGGGGAGATCTAAGGAGGACTTGGGAAGCTCTGGAGAGGTTTTGGGGAGCTCTGGAGAGGTTTTGGGAGGTTCTGGAGGGGTTTGGGGGAGATAGAAAGGGGTCTTGGGAAGCTCTGGAGATGTTTTGGGAAGGTTTTGGGAGGATCTGGAGAGGTTTTGAGGAGGTTCTGGGGAGGTTTTGGGGTGATGTAAGGAGGTCTTGGGGAGCTCTGGAGAGGTTTGGGGAGCTCTGGAGAGGTTTGAGGAGGTTTTAGGAAGCTCTGGAGAGGTTTTGGAAAGCTCTAGGAAGCTCTAGAGAGGTTTTGGAAGCTCTGGAGAGGTTTTGGGAGGTTCTGGAGAGGTTTTAGGAAGATCTGGAGAGCTTTTAGGGAGCTCTGGAGGTTTTGCAAGGTTCTGGAAAGGTTTTGGGAAGCTCTGGGAAGGTTTGGGAAGCCCTGGGAGAGGTTTGAGGAGGTTTTAGGAAGCTCTGGAGAGGTTTTGGAAAGCTCTAGGAAGCTCTAGAGAGGTTTTGGAAGCTCTGGAGAGGTTTTGGGAGGTTCTGGAGAGGTTTTAGGAAGATCTGGAGAGCTTTTAGGGAGCTCTGGAGGTTTTGCAAGGTTCTGGAAAGGTTTTGGGAAGCTCTGGGAAGGTTTGGGAAGCCCTGGGAAGGTTTTGGGGTTTGATGGAGTCATGGGATGGAAAGGGAGAGGAAAACTCATCCAGCGATGCCCGGAGAGGTTCCCTAGAACAGAGGCTAGCCAGACCTGAATAAAGGAAATTATTTATTGAAAGGAAATTATTTATTGAAAAGCCTTCAAAGGTGCACCTTGGGCAGAGCAGGAGCTCAGAGAACCTACACCCAGGTGGGAAGAAAACCCACGAGGTTTTCAGCCAGATAAAAGTTTGGCTTATTTGCACATCAGACTTTAATTGTCCAATTACATCTTCAGGTAATTCAATCACATTGTCCCAGTTTGCTCCTCACAATTCACTTTTTGTTTGCATTTTTCAGGGCCTGAGACAGTCAGGTGTCCTTGAGTTTCAGGCTGAGAGAGGAATTGTTTTGTCTGACTGAAAAAGCAGCTGACAGGCTGTGGGGTTTTGGAGTTACACCCTAAAGCAGTCACTGATCTGGAAATTAAAAATTAAATGAATTAAATTCATTTTGAGTTAAAACTCCAAATTAACATCACCTGTTCCATGGCCTCCCACCAGCCCAGGTTGTTCCATCCCACCTGGCCAGGTTATGGGGTTATGGGGTTAATGGGGTTATGGGTTGT